CTGTGCTATTCACAATAGGTATTTAAAAGTATTGTATATTTATTTATTTATTAGTTAAAATTTTAGAGCATGGGAGCTGCAAATGACAAATGTTTTGCCAAGCAAGAATATCACTTATGCCTTATGCACATCTCGTACGTGTTTCAGGGCCTTTGGGTTGTGCATGGACACGACATTATTGTACATACGAAAAAGGCAGCAACACCTTCAGCATGTGCAACACAGAGGCAAAACCCACAGCTAAACAGGTACAAAGATGCTCATGTTTCAGTGATCTGTAGGAAAAGAGCTGCTGTTTGCATCAGATCCTCACTATCTGTGTCTCTCTTTTCACAGAATGGTGTCATGTCAAATCCCACAGAGACGTTCAGACTGAAGTCCTGTATCAGGAGGAAGACTGACTCGATTGATAAGCGCTTCTGTTTTGATATTGAGGTGGTTGAAAGGTGGGTATCTGCACTGACGACACAGTACAGGTGTTTTAAATCTTTAACACTCCCTGAGAAAATGGACATATTGTCTGTCATCTGTTATTCACCCTCACGTTGCTATGAACCTGTGTGACTGTCTGTCTTCCATGGAGCACAAAAGGAGAAATTTTAAAGAATGTCCATGCTCCTTTTTCCATGCGTTGTATTTTATATCAGGTTATATAATCTTCAAAAGAAATATAGCACGCAGGTTATTCTATGACGGCATTTTAGTGCCACATTAAAAAAATAAAATAAAAAAATCTAAGATTACGAGATATTTCGTAATATTACGTAATATTTCGAGAATAAAGTCGAAATACTACGAGAATAAAGTCGCAATGTTTCGAGAATAAAGTCGAAATTACGAAAATAAAGTTGAAATATTACGAGAATAAAGTCAAAATATTTTGAGAATAACGTCGAAATTACAAGAATAAAGTCGAAATGTGATGAGAATAAAGTCAAAATATTTTGAGAATAACGTCGAAATTACAAGAATAAAGTCGAAATGTGATGAGAATAAAGTCAAAATATTTTGAGAATAACGTCGAAATTACAAGAATAAAGTCGAAATGTGATGAGAATAAAGTCAAAATATTTTGAGAATAAAGTCAAAATTAGGAGAATTAATTAGTAGGCTACAAGATTAAAGTTACAATATTTCGAAAGTATATTCTAGCCTATTGTGCATACAAATGGCCTGGATTGGGAGCACCGGGAGATATTTCAAAGTCTCAGCTTTCACAATCTGTCAGTTTTATAGCGAAATAGCCTACAAACAATAGCCTATGTCTATTGCAATAATGTGTTTTTCATGCTCTTTAATGTGGCGTGACAGATCGCTGTATTCACTTCAGTTTAAGCGGCATGTGAATCAGTCATCTTTCCGATTACAGTGATACATTCATTTAATTAAATTAGGCTGCTGTTTTTTTTTCATGCCTTCCGATGTTCCTTCACTTTTCTATCAACTTTAAATAAAGAGGAAAAACACATTTATAATTTGTATTTCGAGATAAAATTGACAGAATTTGAAAGCTGAGCTGTGTAACAAAAGCAACAAAACACAAAATTATTGCGATTACTGGGTGGCTGGCGCGCTACAAATAATTAATGGAAAACGTTAAAATTATGTCCAATCATTTACTGTATTATACCGTGAATAAAACAGCTTGTGAATAGTCACTTAACGTTATATAGGCCTACCTCAGAAAAGACAATATAACAGCTTATGTTAATGAGTTGGAGCCCACTTCAACCTTTAGAACGTTTTATTGTAGTTTTTAATTAAATACATGTGAGGAATGAAAGGTTGGACGCCACAGACAGATGTTTTTGTGGAGTAGGTGGAATTTTCACAAAGAAAACAGTATAATTTAATGAATTGATTCACATGAATACAGCGATCTGTCACGCCACATTAAAGAACTTGAAAAACACATTATTGTAAGACACATAGTTTGTGTTTTGCTATAAAACAGATTTTGAATGCTAAGACTTTGTTTTATATTAAAAGTACCAAAAGCACAAAACTTATTGCTATTGGGGGGCTGACGCACTATACAAATAACGAATGCAATCGAAGACATGAAATATTATTTACAAGCATACTGTCCCCGCGAATATGACACATGGTATGATTTCTGCTAATAATCCCACATATATTTGTATTAAAAATGGTTAAATAAGAGAGCTACAGCGCCCCCCAAAGGAATGTCGATTGGGTGTGTGAGTTAAGACAAAAAGTTGTTCCTGTTCAGTCTGTTAATAAATATCATATTCTTGATATTAAGCTGTTTCCGCGAGTCCTTAAAATTGACTCTTCCTCATCCCAGTAAGATGATGTGGCCGCTCGGATGCAACAATATTCAAATCAATTCCAGTGGCCTGGCAACTTCTCTCAAGTGCTCTCAATCTGGGTCATTTGCACGCGCAATATATGCTATACTCTCAAAATAGTATGACTTTAATTTATACGATTTAAATTCTCAAAACATTTCAACTTTATTCTCGAAATATTTCGACTATTCTCGTAGTATTTCATCTTTATTCTCGAAACATTTCGACTTTATTCTCGAAACATTTCGACTTTATTCTCGAAACATTTCGACTTTATTCTCGTAATTTCGACTTTATTCTCGAAATATTACGACTTTAATCTCATAATCTTAAGATTTTTATTTTTTATTTTAACGTGACACTAAAACGCCGTCATATTATTTAGACTATTCTAATTATTTTTTTATTTTTATTTTAATGATGATTTTTTATTTTAACATTTATTTTATATGTTCTTTGTATGGAAAAGAACTGTGTGAACATTCTTCATAATATCACCTTTTGTGTTTTACAAGTCACACAGGTTTGTAACTACAGTACTTGAGGGAGAGTAAATGAATACCAAATGTTCATTTTTGGATGAATTCCTACCTCTTTTTAACATGTGCTATAGCTTCTGTTTCTCAAATATGAATTTTTCCTTCTTGTTTTAAGAGTGGCCTGAATTATTGTTTTCTGCATGCTTCTTGTGTCTTTTATTTCACTGTCTTCTGTAATATTTTAACTGTATAATCTTCTCCTTTTTTACTTGCATCTGCCGTCATGGCACAGTCTTACGTTATTAGGTGGCAAATATTTATTTATGTATGTAAGCATTTGTGCACACGTATTAAAACGTGCACATTCCACTAACACTCAGTCCATCAGATCTGTGTGTAGCAAAGTAGCAAATGTAACTTTTTGTGTGTTCATGTACTTTGCCACCTAGTGTAAGGTTGCACTGTTGTTTTTCTGACAGTTTACCTTGTGCTGTATGTGCCCATTTCCCCTGTCTCTTCTCTGTGTTTATTTCAATCTAGAAATACCATCTATCGTGGATCTTTTTTCAGACCACTGCAATTTTTCTTTAAAGCCCGGTATGTGACCAGCCCAGAAGCATGTTGAAGCGCATGTGTGCTGCTTGTGATCTCATGCATTCGAAATCCCACGCTGATCAAAGCTCATTTCTCACTCCGATAGTTTTAAAGGATTGCATGATGAAAATCCAACACATTCCCTGCACCTATAATTGGTGGGATAACAGTTTGATTTGATTTAACTGGCTGAGTGATTTTTGATCTGGAAATCACATTATCACTTGACATCAAGGAACAAACATCACAACATCAAATCAACATTAGCTGTGGCTACACCAGGCTACAGTTAGGCAAGATGGAGAGAAAACATTCAATGATAAAAAAATATACTGAGCTGCCTATCCAGAAAGCCTTTTAAGGCATCATCCAATGCAAAGGCCTAAAACAAAGGCAGTTTTTCTTCTAACATGCCTAATCTTTGCACAAATCTTAGGCAGAACTGCATGTTTCCTTCACAGAGAAAGCACTATTATTATTTATTATTTTGATTTATTTATTTTGTCAGCTGAACCCTTTTGACCTAAGACATTTACCTTAAGTACCTCCTGAGATATTAAGATATTAAATGATTAATTTATTTAATATATGTATTTAATATTTAGTTTTAAGTGTTTGATTTTGATTGTTTTCATTGTAAGATAATTTATTTGAATTATGATTTATGATTTGTTTAATTATTGAAGTTATTTATTCGTTTTTTTTTTAACAAGATCTGTGAAGAATCCAAAATAAGAAATGTTATGTGTGTGTGTG